GCATCTTCTATGCTGAGAATGGCATATATTTATCTTTCTATACTGAGCCTGACATCTAGACTGATTGTTGGTTTTATTTCGCTTTGGTTAGGAAAATAAGTCATCTATAGGATTGTTATATTCTGGAATTACGCAGAACAGTTATAATGGGATTCATGTCTTCTTATAGATGCATTCCATGGGGTGAGGACTTCGTAAAATGGATGGCTGATTGGTCACAGTGGCTTGGTATTTCAAAGCGACATTATTTTTTATTAACTTAAAATTAAATTGCATTGAATTTTATCAAAAAGAAGTTTCCTTAACATTTATTTTTTTATTTATAATATTCAAACTTAAATTTTAATTTAAAAAAAAATCAAGTTTTATTTACTTAAATCAATAAATTGTTAATAAAAATTAAAATATAGTGATACAATATAATTGTATCCAATGTATGACTTGAATGTTTGTTAACCACACACTTGCAAAAAGCATGCAATGTTTTCTTTGGATGAAGGCTGGAGACTCAAAAAATAACCACACCACGCAAGGATGGACCTGGCACCATATCCCGCAACGCTAGTCGACCAGCTAGTAAAGTTTTAACGGTAGAAAAGTTTTAACAGTGTTATCTATGATACCGCTGGTCCCCAGATTTATTACTCACCTCCACAATGACACTCTTCCGTCGCAGAATTACCGTTTTAGAAATATTTAAGATTTGTTCAGAATAATAATATTTTCGGCCAAAAAAAAGTTCAAAATAATATTAGTCTTTTTTATATTTTAAGCAAAATAAATATTTTTATTATTAAATCTTATGATTATTATATCATAAAAGAGCATTTTTATTTTTATTTTTCTATTAACAGTAAAATAGGTAAAAGTAAAAGTTATTCTAAATTCTTAATACTAAAATAAAAGTAGAAAAAATCTATTATACTAGAAGGAAAGAAGTATATGTTTTTTATTTAAAATTATTTTTTTTATTTTTTTAAGAAGGCACCTTTTTTTAAATTTTGTTATCGTCTCTTAAACTTCAATTATCTATTTTATCATAAAAACTATTTAATTTTTATTTTTAGAGTAAAATAAATAAAAATAAAAAATTTCCTAATCCTTAATTTAAATTTAAAATAAAAATATATTTATGATTTTAGGACCGATCAGAGTACTAAAAATATTTTAGTTACCACCAAATGTCAGCGCTTAGCAATTGGATCCACTCCTCCAATCCTCACGCTCTTTAGCACGAGATTTTGAGTCTCACATGTCCACCATTTCACGACCAAAGCATCTTATAGTATCTTGAAAGTGAATCATGTTTCATGAATATAATATATAAATTTAATAACAAGCCACCCCTGGATCCCCAGATGATGCACTCAACTACAGCTACTAATTAAGAGAGCACAAATTGATTGTATCCATTGCTTTCTGCTTCCACACTGTCGAAGAAGGACAGGGATGTAGAGAAAGAACGCAAATTGATGACTGATGAGCGGAAAAAATTTTCTACTAGAAGAGTTCCCCACT